ATTATACGTATTTTTGATTTTTAGTTGAATTTTTTTTTTAGTTTTTAAAATTGTAATTGTCCAATCACAAATGCTATAGAGAAAGCTTTAATTTTAAAAGGTTTGGAGTAACACGGAACAATGTAAAACGTTTTACATGATTGTTGTCAAATGCCAGAAACCGCTATCACCCGCAAACGCTGCGTTTAATGAACGCTAATTTCAATTGAAGACGGCTACTATCTCTCCACGACACGACGATGTTGAAGCCAAATATAGGATCGTCCAAGACTTGGTTTCTATAGGTACACCTTCACCATCGTGTCAGCTTCTCTTGGACTGATAATCTTATCATGAGGCAGAGAGGTGTCGAAGAATTAAGCGTGTCATGTTTTTTTTTGCTCTGCTTTGGTTACTTACGACGAATAAGCACAGATGAAAAACGAAAACGACATTCTTTTTTTTTTCCAATTCAGTTTACTCTTCCGATTTAAAACGAAAACGACATTTTTTTTTCTTTTCCAATTCAGTTTTCTCTTCCGATTCAATAAACAAACGTTTAAGATCTCTAACCAGTGCAATCAAACGAGAAAAGCTTTATTACTATTAATGCATGAATGAGGAAAGAACCCAAAGTCTTACACAAGCGAAAACACAAAAGACTTGAACAGTTTCTTAGTTCTGGAAATCAAATATTATTATTTGATGATACCCAAATTCTCAGCTTATCACAGCTGAATAATTTTTAAGACAAGCAAAAAAAGAAATGAAAGTTTTAAGCACCAAGAGTGGAACCAGAGTTCCTCCTGCACTCAGACAGCATGTCCATGTAGAACTGACACTTGCTGATCTCGCTTCCATAGCTGCCGATGCACTGCATCAATTTATAAAAGAACAATAATCAACTTGACATAGCCTTGTATTTGCTTGAATTCAATAATAGAGTTGCACTACGAGAAACAAGTTCCAATGAGTATATGCTTCACTAGAGTTAAAAGACCAATCTTTATGTTAAACTACCATTAACCCATAATCACTGAGCTATGTAAATGTTCAGCAAGGGCAAAAAATGAATTCAAATGTTTCATCATGCCTATAAAGAGTGTGGGAGTGTGATCATACGATTGAACACTTACATCTTGGAAAGCCTTAGCATGAATGTCGCATGAATTCGAAAAGGTGTTGCTTGAAACAGGTGATGCAGCGGCAGCTTCAACAGCTTCATGTTGAATGGTTCGTGGACCCATCACAGAATCAACAGCTCTATGTGCAACTGCACTTCCAGTACCAAAAGCCATACCTAATTCCCAAAACACAAACAAACATTTCAGGAGAGACTCATTCCAGACAAAACACTTTGATCTAGACAAAAAAAAATGCTTCAAATTTCAGACGAAGCTAGACAAATTTGGAGCATTTACCCTGAGCTATGGTTGAACCAATGCCTGAGAACATGCCACCACCGCTGCTCGCCTGCGCTGGAGCTGGAGGAGGTGCACGGTGAACTGAAAAAAAAAAAAAACATACCGAGAAAGAAAGATTATACACATGAAAAAATCCTCAGAAATAATTGAAGCCAATGGGATTCGATTTACTCGTAAACAATATCAGAGAATAAAGATTTACCAGGTTGAGGCGCAGGGCTGCGTGCAGCAGCAGGACGAGGACGAGGAGCAGATCTTCCTGCAAAACGAAAGACAAAATGAGAAGAAATATTCACAAATCAATCGAGAAATTGGTATCTAAAGAACAAACATTTCACCCAAAAAAAAAAAATTATTAATAGAGAAATGAAATGAATCACAACAACCCTAACTCGATTTTTTTCTACAAATTGGAAACCAAACGATGCTAATCAGAATTATATTTAAATTTCAGAGAAGTGATTCCAACAAACCAAAAGATTAGAGAAAGGGAAACACAAAGTACAAAGTAAAAACCCTAGATCGGTGATACGCGAAATAAAACGAGCCCTAAACCAATAACACGACTTTTTCGACATCATCGGAAACACAATGGAATCGAATAGATCTGAGATCGGAAAGAGAAGCCTTACCACCACCTGAGCCACGGCGACCCATTTTGATGAGAAATGAAAATTGAGAGATTAAGGAAAATGGGGAAACGAAGAGATTAAAGAAAAATGCTAACAAGCGGCTCGCTATCTGGAGAGGCGGTTATATATATACACAAGGGAGACGGAGTCGGCAATCTGACGAGGTCAAGACCACGCAAAGATGTACACGTGTATGATTTGGATTGGTTGTAACTAGATAAACTCTAATCCTCTTTTTTTTTTTCATAAGTAGTTACGCTTTTTCGTCTGTCGCGTTAATTGCGGCCCAAACTTTAGTAAACCAAATTTGGGCTTCTTTACAGATCCAATAGATTCTTTTTTCGAGGAGAATAATAATTCAGACTATGATTCTGTTTTTGACAAACAACATTTAGAAGATTGATGATTCAAAATATATAGCATATACAAATGTGTAAAATAGAAAATATAACGGCGGCTTCGTCTTGAAAGCTTTTTGCTGACTGACTCTGTCTTGTTGGCTTTACTCCATGGAAAATCATCTTCATCTTTGGAGGATGGTAACGAACAAATGTAGTGTACACAAAACATACGAATATACAACAGAGCAAACATTGTAGAATCAAAATAGACCCAGATTTCAGAGTTTTCAGATTTGCCACAAAATCTTAATTTTGTATTGCTCTTGATATAATATTTACTAACTGTGAGTAAAGTAGACTGAGTGTTTAGAATCTTGGATTTTCACCTCCTACTCTAGTTTTGCAATAGAAGAAGAAAGTAAAGCCATAATAAGTGCATCAGTGGAAGTGGAACTCTGCTGATTTTGGAATTTCAAAATTTATATAAATTTTCTACCATTTCCAAGACTAAAGAAGCTAAGAAAGTAAGACAAGAATGTAGAAACAGTCAAACACAACGCAATGAGTGAGCAAGTTTCAGGCACTCAAAAGCAAAAATATAGTAGTACCCCCCCCCCCCCCCTCTTCTCAAGTTTTCTTTTTGTAAAGATTTTCTACTGAAAAAGTTTGTGTGACCAACAGTTTCCATAGCAATGACCCTTGCTCTAGCTCCTTTTAATCAAAATCTCAATTCCATGTAGTAATAATGTGTAATAAAAGAAGAATTTTTTTAGAATATACATCAAACTGATTCCATCAAAGTACTTGAAATGAAAAAGATGTTGTACAAGAGTTCAAAAGATCCAATAAAAAAAAAAAGAAATATTAAAGGAAACATAAAACAAGTGGGGAGTTTGTATTTTGTTTTCTGTATGGTGAAAACTGTGTGGTCCTAGTTTAGGGTGTATTTTTTGGACAATGATGTTTCACCTGTAAGGATGAAGGCATGAAGGAGGTTTTGAGCAGCCTGGGTTTGATCAGGTGTTCCCGATATGACAATGATCCTGTCACTTGTTCCTAGAGGAGGTTCATGGACTATGACCCTCGCACCCGATATCTGATTAATAAACATCAAATGGTATAAGCTATGCTTAAGCGGTTTACTCAACTAACAGGGTGCTACTTCATGTTTATGACAATGACTATTTGGTGTGTAGCCATCATCTCAGACACTATGGGGATAAACAAGGATTCCGTTTTAAAACAACGATCAAGTTGTAACACTGAATAACGAGGTTGTAAACAAAGTTTCGACAACAGTGTGGAGATTTCGTGACTTCAAACACGTTTGTGAGTAAAGTTACTCGTCTTGACCTAGATTTATGGTGGAAGGATGGTTTGTACTATGTAAAATATTACTCATATATATGTAGTTTGTGTTTGCATGCTTTCGATTAAGTAACCCTAGCGTTCTTTTATGTTTTCTTTTCAGCTGTTACTGATTCTTGGTGTATGATACTACGAGCAGGCAACGTAAACCAAAATTTATATCTGCTCTTGTGGAGCAAATAAATAATGGCCTAACCTCCTATGGATGACACTACGGGGCAAACTAAGAAAAAATTCGTAAACAAAATTATGTCTTACCTGTTTCAGTTGCTCCAGATTGTAGCCATGCTCTCCATACACAAAGCTCATAGCATTTTCTGGAACTCTAATTTCTACAGTTGTGTTTGTAACAATTGCAGATTTGTGTCCACTGGAAAAGACCAAGCCAGCATGTAAATTATACAAATATCAGAGCAATAAGCATACATAATTGTCTATAACTGCTGTGCATTTACCTGCCACGTACAAGGCTAGCAGAAGATAATCCAACACTGGCATCAGATAAGCCTCTTGGAGCTGCCGGTGGCTGCATAAAGACTATGTATATCAGCTACAGAAGTTAAATAGAAGCACAGATTCTGTCATTGTTAACTTTGAGGAAGCGGCACAAATGTCCAAAATCCTCTAAATCCCTCAGTGAGCATCAACAAGTACTTATGTCTACCACAGAGTAGAGAATGGAGAAATACAGGGGGGTGGAGACATACCGGGGACGCCCACAAACGTGATGCGGTCTCAGTTAAGTGATGAGATATATCACTGTGGTCCATAGAGGACCGCCGTCCAAAATTAGGAGAATAGTCTGCTGATGGATTAAACCTATCAGGAAACGTGTCTTCTGGTCTGATGTAAGGATCAGTGCCAACAGGTCTGGAAGAGTTAAGTGATGAATGAGACCCACTTAGGAAATCCTCAGATATTCTGTGCTGAGTTGAAGAGATGGAAGGTGGATGACTAAAGGCTTGATGAGACCCAACAGACAGAGGAGTATCTGATTGTCCGTGGTACATTCTCTCTGTAACTAAGGTGGAGTTGCTCTTGGTTACGGATTTTTTCATCAAGTTGGAGAAAAGACTGTCTCGTATCCTGCTCGTAACATGGAAAACGGCTTCTCTCACATTTGGGAACTCTCCTGAAATCTATTCGCCAGCAAAGAATGTGAGTTTATGACAGACAACTTAAGAACAATGATGCTTACAAACATAATAATATGAAAACTGCATTTCACAGTGTCCTTTAATATTCAGGAAATCCCTCAACTAAAGTTTACAGCAAGTGCAAGAATTTGATTCTCTCTATTTGCATGAATGTGCCAATTTCTTTCAGAAAATATCGATAGCTAAGTACCAAAAATTATGCCAATCGTGCAAGATGAATAGAGACCAAGACAAGATTCAGTAATTAAAAGCAAAGCTCTAACATTTAGCACGCTGATTCCAAATTATGCTTCACAAATCATATGAGAGATTGTCACGAGCACATTAGATCTTTTAACCAACTAGTACATTGCAACGGGAATATGTACCATAACCATTAAGGTCAACAAATGTTCTAAGTACCTGCACAACTTGATCATTCTCTGAAACACATTTTGGGTTCTGCTCAACCTTCAAAATTTGAATTGCTGCCCCAGTGGTTTTCCGCATATCCGAAACTATAACACCTCCTTTCCCCAGCAAACAACCAATCTGACTTGTTGGGACCACAAGCCGTGCAGTGATAGATGTCCTTGGGCCATTGCCTACTATTTTTTTAGTGGCAAGCTCAAATAATCTAGTAAGAACAAGGAGAATTGCCCTCTGGGCTGGCGAGCTTTGACATTCAGGGTTCTACATGATGAACGAGCGAAAATTAACAAACAAGAATAGTAAATAGATAGGATAATACGTATTACAAAAGCATCCATGAAAATGGGAAGATATAAAAAACACCAACCTCTGGTGCAGTAACTGCAATCAAACGCTCTTCACAGTCAGCAACTGTATTTCCCACATTTATGAAGGCACCTGTCTCGCTATGAAGCGTCCTGATAACTTTACCCCCTGTCCCGATAACACCGCCAGCGTTTTCAATGGAACAAAGTATCTTAAAAACCACTTCTTGGTTCCCTACTTCCACTTCTGATAAAGGTGGCTTCATAGTGGCAGCGTTAGTCATTGAAGCAGAGGTAGAAATGCTGTGAGGATGTCTATTTAGAGTGGAATTCCGCTGTGTGAGAAAATCTGCAGTTGGCCGACGAAGAGTTTCTTGTGGGATTGTTTCAATACGCCTTTCAAAAGTATCACGTGGAAACGACTCAAAAGGAATGCCCATAGCATCACGTTGAACCATCTCGTGAGGTCTATGCAAGGAATCATGAGAATCATCCACCTCTCTGTGGTGTCGGTAACCATCTCCCCTGACAACATCAGAAGGCCTGTATAACGTTTCTCGTGGAACCACATCAATATGCCTGCGTAAAGTATCTTGTCGGTCCGCCTCAATATGCCTGCGTAAAGTATGCCGGTCAGCCTCAATATGCCTGTGCAAAGCACCTTGCCGGTCAGCCTCAATATGCCTGTGTAAAGCATCTTGCCGGTCCGCCTCCATATGCCTGCGTAAAGCATCTTGCCGGTCCATTTCAATATGCCTGCGTAAAGCATCTTGCCGGTCTGCCTCAACATGCCTGTGTAATGTACCCTGAGGAACCACCTCTATATGCCTATGATGCAAAGCATCATGAGGAATCACATCATTAGGCCGAGCTAAAGTGCCCCGAGGATACATGTCAACTGTTCTCGGTCTATAATCGTAAGGGTTAACTTCAACGGACCTAGGAAGAGACTCCTGAATTATTGTTTCTATGGGCCTATGCGAAGATGCTTGGATCTCTTTCTCAAGGGGTCTGTTTCCGACCATCCTTATCTTGTTAACCGATTGACAATCTTGCAGGCAGCGGGAGACAGATAAAAGAGCTTTCTTCACAGCGGTAACATTTCCTTCAATCTGCAACATAGTTGATAAGTCAAGATGAGAAAATAGACAATGCAATCAGCAAAAACAAGTATCTATAGAGTGCTATACAAAGCTTTCAGCTCACACCTTCTCTCCAAAGAGAGGTTCTAATGACTGATAAAACTCGGAAAAAGGAACTCAATTTGGCAAACTACCACATATTCAATCAATTTTAATGCCAATTTCAAACAAGAAACCATTCAGAATGTTCAGCATTCCACAAACTCTTACCTCCACCATTTCGTCACCAGTATCAGCGCAAATCGGCAAATTCTCAGTCCGTATCGCAATCTTGCATCCAGTTTCTTTCCTAATGCTCCCAACCATTTGACCACCCTTACCTATCACAGCACCAGCATGGCTAGACTCCGTCAACAATCGGCACACGACCGTACTACTATCAGCTTCCGCAGCTATAATCTCGAAAACCCTAATCAACGCTGCTTGTACTTTAGATACCTCAACTTCCTCCTCCTTCTTCTCCGACTCTGCATTCCCATTGCTACTAACACCCAATTTTACCTTAGACGCCGAATCCACTTGTGCGATGATCGTGATGACCCGATCCGGAGACCCAGACGGAGGCTCCTCGACTCGAATCTTAGCTCCGGTTGACTGTTGGAGCTGTTTGATCACGGTTCCGGATTTTCCAATCACCGCACCGACCTGAGACAAAGGGCAGAGCAATCGAAACGACGCGTGTCCCACCGGCACAACCAAAGGCGAAAGTAGCTGCGCGTGATGCGTCTTCACCCTTTTGGAAGATCCGAATCCTGAACCCGGATCCACTGCTCCGGATCTCTTCGCTGTAGGATAATGAAAGCTGCTTCGATCCATGACCTCTCTCTCTCGTTGACACGGCGGTTACCGGCGAAGTAATTGTCAGAAGAAGTCTTTTCGCAGTCTTTAACGCTAAGTTGCTAACTTGCGCTGAAGAAGCGTATTAATAGCGCCGCTTTAAACGACGCCGTTTTCTAGTAGTTCGTTTTTTTTTTTTTACCGGTAAAACCGAACCGAAATCTGATCAAACCAAACTTTATTGGACTGATACAGTTTATTAAAAATCTTGATTCAAGAATTACGAAGAAAGGCATTAGAGTTTTACGAAATCTGAAGTTATATATTGCAAGCATCTCATGGTTTTGATTTATTTTTTAACACATGAAATGAAACAGAGGAATCGTTCAAACTTCGTAGCCAGGATTCACAGTCTGCTGCACATCTCCATAGCTTTCAAGCTCAGTCACATCTTCTACACTCCCAAGAAACAGAGGCAATCTCTGGTGAAGCTTCACGGGTTGTATCGAAAGTATCTCTCTTTTTCCATCAGAGGCTTTACCACCAGCTTGTTCAACGAGAAAAGCTAAAGGGTTTCCTTCATAGACTATACGGAGATGGTCTCTTGGATTCATAGCTACTCCGCCGTATAACAAAGTCCTGTGAAGATCAGCTACGAGAGAACAAATGTAACGCGCTGAGTATTTCTTCGGGTTTTGACCTTTGCCTTGTCTCACTATATCAATGTACTTCCTCAAACCTTCTGGCCAGTCAAAGTACCTCGCATCGTTCACCGAGTAGATTTGTCCTGATGTTGATGATACAAGGAGCAATGTTCAAGACAGGTTTTTTTAGAACCATGATAGTTCTGTTTAGTCATGATATTAATGTAAAAGATGTGTCTTATGTGCCATTAAAAGCTATTTACCTCGACTAGGGATCTTGATGTTTTGATGGGTAAGAACGAATTCGCCTGTGGAATGATCAAGCGTGAAGGCATGTGTTCCGGAGCCATGACTAACGCAGAGTATCGTTGCTGAAGAGTAGAGCACATAACCAGAAGCTACAAGCCTGTTTCCTCTTTGCAGAGAATTGAGCTCAGCTTTCTCTTCAACTGGTAAATGATCAAGCTCAACAAGGCGATTGTAAATCCCGAATATAGTTCCCGTGGGTATCGAAGCATCGATGTTACGTGATCCATCTAAAGGATCTACAACCACAACGTAAGGACCGTCATCTTTTATCCAAGTGGGACTATCGTCTTCTTCGGAAGCCATTACCGCTACTTTCCCTGAGTTTCTAAGAGAGGACAAGATGATATCGTTCTGCAAAAACAGAACATGAATTGTAAGATTGAATCTTGATATGAAATCATGACAAAAAGAGGGCAGAGAGATACAGACCGAGACGATATCAAGCGGCTTAGGCGCATCTCGGTCTGAGCCACTAGAGGAGTTCACAGAGAGCTTTCCGAGGGAAGAATTGAAAGGAGAAGCTACAAGAGAAGCGATTCTTTTGCACGCATGTTGTAAGTGGTAAAGCAACACCACAAGGTCGTCTCCTACATTGTTCCCTTCTTTCCCTCCTCCTACATTACCTATCATAGAAAAAAATCAACAACACAAACTTGAAAGTTTAATCAAAGTTGTATACACATAAGAACACTCAAAACCCATCTTTAGTTTTGTCTCACTGACAGAGTTCCCAAGACTTATCTTCAATAAAGTCCGGTTTTTTCGATACATAGGAACACTCAAAACCATCTTTGGTTTGTCTCACTGAGAGAGAGAGAGTTCCCAAGACTTGATCTTACTCAATTAAGCACATTTTAGATTCTAACATCTTAAGAACTTTCCAACAAAGTCCGGTTTTTTCGGACATAGATTGACAATGACTGACATAGAACACAAAAATTAACTGACAGGTGCTAAAGTTCGTTCAGACAGAACAGTCTGTTACCTGCAAAGTCTACGAGAGTACAGTAGCCACCATCATCATCTCCGATCGAAGTCCGACGAGTGGCGAGGGATTTAAAGGAAGCAGACTCACGGCGAGACTCCATCCCGCGACGGTTGTTACAGGTGGTCGGAGGAGAGAGAGCAGAAGCTGCGATTTGTCTTAGGGAGTAAAGATCGAGTCTTGGCGGGGAAATTGGAGTTGGGTAACGAGTTATAGTGAGTGATTGCATTATTTTCCTGGACTTAGAGCATCAGTGAATCTCAATCCCATCTACAGGTACGCTTCAAAATCAGGAAATGACGAATTCCATGGTCGATAGCATCTGGTTCCGGTTAATTTATGAATTGGGTTCCGGTTTTGTTATGAACCGGTTCGGTTATAAGAGCAATTGCATCAACTTTACTCGTACAAACAGATTTTTTGCTACTGTTACACAGATGTAGTTTCAAAGTTTCTTCTTAATGAGAATTCTTGTGGATTATGGGATCAGAGACGACTTGATGCTTGAAGTTGGCTTTATGTAACTAGCCAAAAGATCTTGTATAAAGATCGACACAGATTGAGATCCATGTCCGAGATCATCAAACCATCTTTGAAACGGGACAAAGACAGAGTGCAAGAAGCATCCGGTGCCAAACGATTTGTCGAAAGATGAAATCAAAACATCTTCATAGCTAAATTATATAACTAAAAGGGTATCATGTTCTAAAGAGAATGTTTTAGAAGAATCGGGTAAAACAATATGTTCAAGAGATTCCAGCATTCGAATTTGAGCCTAATCAAGAACCCCTGGTTTTAGTAACTTTAACGCCACATCAACATTCACGGATCAAATAAAGGGAAACCACAATAAACTCTCAAAGAGATCATAGCAAAGTAATTTAAAATTATCAAGGCTTAAAAAACCAGTAGGGAAAACAAGGATTCAAAGTCAAATTCCTTGTATCAAATCAAAACATCTACCAGAAACTAAAACCATAACATAAAGTAGATAGTGTATTATAACATAAAAGAAAATCATCTTGTTGCTTTTCAGGTCGCTTTTACTGATCTTCGGGGCTCGAGTCAGTGCTCTTTTCGGTAGGAGAGGAGGTGTGGACGACGGGTTTGAATTCAATATTCTGCTTGAAGAAGAAGCCTCCGGAGGAGGAGGGATTCTTTACCTTCACGGAGCCGAGTGTTATTTCGACTTTTCCTGCACCGGTGGTTCCGGTAGTCGCAGTTCTGACATGAGAAACCTGTTTGAAAGAAAGAAAAAAAGGAGGAGAGACTGAGATTTGTCTCAAGAAGACAGAAGCGGATCTGACTGAAGAAATCTGTTTATTAAAAAACAAAAAAAGAGTGGAAAGACTCACCGGAACGTCGGTAGGGGCGGAGGCTGTTCCGGTACGTGCAGCTGTTCCTATAGGTCCGAAGTCCCTACGCACCTGGCAGCGGTACTGAGCTCCCGGAGGTGCATTCGTTACCGTCGCGGTGGCGTCATGAAGTTCGAACTATTCTTCCATTCTCTCCATCTCTGATAACAAAAACTTGCAAGTACAGAACTTTCTTTCTCTCTTGCCTTTAGAATTATGAATATCACAATGCACAGTTTCTAAAACCATCATCATCGACACCTATTTATACACATAGATGTCAATATGATTTTCCAATTCTGCGATACTAACAGTTTCCTTGCTTGATGTGATTTTCCAATTCTACGATACTGACAATTTCTTTTTTAGTAAGTAACATATTTCCTTTTTACTTTGTTTTTGCCTGCTTGTCTTTTGAGTTTTGATTTGATCTCTTTTAAATGAATAATTTTTTAGTTCTGAGTAGTTTTCCTCTTCTTCCGGTTTATTTCTGAATTGGGTTCCGGTTTCGTTATGAACTGGTTCGGTTATTGATAGCATCTGCATCAACTTTATTCATACAAACAGACAACAGATTTTCAGATACTGTTACAGAGATGTAATTTCAAAGTCTCTTCTTTCGAAGGTTCACAGATTTAAGTAATTGGGAAAGAAACAATTTCTTATGAAGAATTCTTGTGGAGCATTGGGTCAGAGACGACTTGTGGCTTGAAGTCTGGCTTTATGTAACTAGCCAAAAGATCTGCATAAACTTCGTATCTTGCAGTCATTCTAAATCCCCATTTGTCTTTGTATTGCCGGCAGAGATTGAGATCCATGTCCGAGATCATTAAACCATCTTTGTAACGGGACAAAGACGGCGTGCAAGAAGCATCCGGTGCAGAGAAATGGCTTGACCCGTAGAAATGCCCAAAATCATTGTGTTGCGGTTTTCCATCGCCTGATGTAAAAGCATTGGGGAACACTTCGGTTCCAACTCGGTTAATGGATCCCACAAAGTAACTGTTTGCTATCGCAGCATTTCGTGCCTGAGTTGAAGGAACAGATTGAATTGTTAGACCATGATATTATACAAAAGAAAGCTTCAAATTGGGTAAAAATGGAGAACCAGAACTTAAACCTCAATAGGCCACATTGGTTCACTGAGTTCACCAACAGTTGCTGAAGGGTTGAAGACAATCTCAGCACCATTTAGTCCAAAAGCTAACCAATTTAAAGGATGGTGTCGTCCATAACATATGTTGACTGCAATTTTCCCAAACACCGTCTCAAACACAGGATGTCCCGTGTCTCCTTCCATGTAATAGGTGCTCTCGTTGAAATCTCCAACCCTCGGTATGTGATTCTGCCAAGACCGAGCAATGAAAAAATTAGCACAGAAGAGAAAAGGTGAAGCAGCAATAGACATTCAGCATAAATTTTTACCTTTCGATGCTTGCCAATGATATTTCCATTATTCCCTATAATCACAGCGGTATTCCAAAGCACTTCACCGTGATCAATATCTCTTTCGAGAATAGGATTCACAATCACCATGTTATACTTTTTGGCGTATTCTTGAAGAAACTTTGTTGATTCACCATCAACAGGCTCTGCAAACTCACACCATTTCTTCTCCCTTGTGCAAAACGCAAACGGCATAGTCCAAGCTTCCTATCGATAAAAACCATTCCCTCAAGAAAAGGTTAAAACAATTACACAAATATTATAACATAAAAGAAAGCAAATGGAGGCAAACCTGCAAGCACAGTATGTTAACACCGGAAAAACCCGCAGCATCAATCATCGGCTTCAACTTATCGAATATTCCTCTTTTTTGGTCCGAGAATGGAGCAGTAGTCGGAAGAGCGATGGAGTTTTGAATGAGAGCAACTCTGACCACTCGAGGCTTTCTCATTTGCTCTTTATCAGCTGAAAAGCTAAGAGCCTAGGAAGTAATTTATCCAAAGATCAAATCAAATCATCTTCTAAGTCAATGATTTGATCCAAATAGTATAGCTACAGAGCAAACCTGGAGATCAAAATCATGTTTTAAAGAGAGGGTATTTGCAGATTCAGGCAAAACAATCTTTTCAAGCGATTTCCCACAGTTACTTCCGAGGAGCATTCGGCTTACCTCCTACAAATCAAACAATCCACTACTTCTTAAGTCAACACTTACAAATCACTACAAACATTCCAATTCGAGCCTAATCAAGAGCCACCGCGAAATTCATGAGAACAAATAGAGGGAAACTACACTAAACTCTCTAAGAGATCATAGCAACGTAAAACCAGAAACCCAAATCAGTAATTTGTTACTTCACCTGATAGAGCTCAGGCTTCAGATTCGCAGATAAGAGTTGATGAAGCGAATCATAGCCGCGAATTGATCCGTCGGCAACCGTTTCTCCGTTTTCTGAGATCGTCTTCTCCATTTTCCACAGAGTTTTCTCGCTAAAGAAAACTTTTCAAAGCTCGATCACGCAACTGAAGATGGCGACGACGACTTGATGACAATAATGAATTTAATGATGATGGGTTTAGCGAATATCTTGATAAATCGGTTATTTAGACATTTTGGTAAACCGTAACGATGATCCCAAAGAATACCGGTTGACCAAAAACAAAAACATCCCAAAGAATACCGAACCAAACCGGGGACGATATACCGGAGAACACCGGGGGAATCTTTATGCTACCTGAGTGCTGTACTGGCTCTTCGCTAAAATTAAATAAATATTTTTTCATAAGACTGAAATGCCCCTATCAATTCATTAATTGTTCAGGCTCGTGCAAGTCCTTTCTCGTCTTTTTCGATTTAGATCTGTATTGACTGTTAGCAATTAAAAAAAAAAAATC